TTTCTGGGCAAGTACCGGTGACTTTTAGTCGGCGATTAATTCCACTATCCGCCACTTGGAGACGCCCTACGTGGCCTCGTCACTAACCGGCTGGGTATCCTTCAGTGAGAGAGAGCTTAGTGAAGGAGATCCCTAGATGAGCACAGTACAGAGAACAATGCTGGAGGAACAGCACCACCTTCTCCTTCCCCTTCTTCTTTTCTTCTTCAGCGTTTGTCCCACTTTGTAGCGGGGTCCGCTCTTTGGTATGTTCACGCCGTTCTTCCCGACTGAATGCTCGGTAGGGTGAAGGCTAACAACTTTCAAGTTCCAGGCCAAATGCCTAGTGAGAGTCGTTCTAGTCTTACTTGAGGCCATTTAGCACGCACGTCGAGGCTGAGGTCGACCATGCAGACATTGTTTTTGGCCGCGAATAGGACATGCCCAGACCATCCTAAGCGACCAGCACGAGTATTATCGGCAACAGAAACTACACCGAAATGGGAATCATAGAGGAATCATCTCAAGTATACATAAATGCTGTACAGAAAAAAGCATAGATGATGATGCTCTAAAAATGAACCTGCATAATTAGAGCTTATATACGAGGCATAGCGCAAGCTCATATCAAGTATAATGCGATCGTGTCGATTCTTCCTATGACATTTTGTGGTTTTATGCGCAGCAACCGCAGTGAGTGATGAGCACGCTCCGAATATAATTCCCTGAGCTTAACGGTATCACTCATAGAAATCTCATTGTTTGCAATAGAAATACCCTGCTACCCTTCTGACTGGGGCTGGCAGAAGCATTTTCGATTTTTGGTAAGTATAAGTTCGAACTAGCTCGAACCTTCCTACCTATAGAACCATTTTAGTCACTTCTCATGAAAAAAGTTAACGCTCCTACCATGAGAATTGATTTTCGCACAGTGAGCACGGGTAAGTTAATTGAGCACATGTCTGCAGTATCCAAGGCATGAAAGCCCTTGTAAGTGTAAGAAAAATGAGTGCTTGTAAAATCAAAAATTCCTCCACGCAGCCTTTACATCTAAACGCTGCAATAATGTAATAGCAATAAATTTCTTCGGTTCAAACGATATTGAACTCATTGTTGTCGGATCCGTAATACAATCAGCTTATTCAACTGATAATACAAATATGTACGAAAGAATTATATGACGCAATAGTTCAAAGAAACCTGCCAAAAAGGAAAAAAGCTCAGGGCCAGTGATTAGTGGGAGTGTTTTCTACATACTAATCCCTAAATGTTTGAAAGTGTCTAATACTAGTACTTTTTCCTGGTTAAGTAACCTCACATTAAATTGAATGGCACGGCATCTTGCATTTTGAATAGAAAGACATGTCGACTTTTTCGAATTCCTGGATGGTTCACTGTAATTCTATTGTAGTTTCTTCTTTCTAGGCTTTCGAATACTGGAAAAACAGTTCTACAAAATAAGAGTCTTCCAAGTCGCTGCGCAAAATTTGTGATAATCATAGTTATATCTAACCCACTGCCGCGAGTACATTCAAGTTGATCGTCATCACCTCAATTCTCTACGGAACATGACCGATGCAAATATTATAGAAGTTCTCAGAGCCAACTAAGTTGTTTTGCTTCTATGATCCCGTTTGATTGATCATGCAAGACGGAACTACCTATTGAAATTAGCCATTCCTGGAGTCGAATCCGCGCATGTGTGGAACACCTACATTTGAACGAAAAAATTTCTTCTCCTCACCTTAGATTAACTCTTTCACTTACTGAATTTTGTGAATTTCTCTCGCACTTCTCTTATCGAAGTCGAAGATAATCGCCTTGTGACGGTTGATTGCAGCAAATATAAACAGACACTGATGAGCTCAGAGTCCTCTTAAAAATTTCGACAAAAATGGCAAGTTTTCTTCTTGTTCTCTTTCAGGATATATCCCACTCATATATGTTGAACATGCGATCAGAGAAATATGTTCCAGAGGTACCTAGTGCTCGCACTTTATCTCTATCTATGTCGAACATTAGGTGCAGATACAGATGGTTAGTAGCCTACACGTTCTATCGCGACAAATATTTTCTTGATGATACAGTCCTCCCTTACAGATGCTCAAGGAATCCCACTGCATGCACAGATGTTGACTGGTGCACCACTGGTTTAATACCTCCGGAAGAACCAGAATCTTTTTGAAGTGATTCATTTTTTTTAGGGAAAGTACCTCCAAATTCTACTGTATAGCGAAAATTCGTGTTGCAGGTGAGGACAAATCCAACTCCTGGTTTCAAATACAAAATGATGGATAAGGCATTTGCAAATGCAAATCAGAATTTGAATCCAGTTGTCAACGATGACAATGACACCGGAGCTGACCTTCCGGAAAAGTAATTCTCTATCTCCGTTGCATTCCTTCTATCATTAGCTCCGCGTAAGCCCTTTATGGAATCAGAGCCTTAGAGCAGTCGACATTGAGTAAGCCTTCCAGTTTAGCTACTCAATCAGCTTCCATTCAAGCTAAGTAGGTGCGTGATGGAGAGAAACTTCAAAATCGGGTAATCACTATTCTTAATACCACTTTTTTGTTGTCATAGGTAAGTCGAGGATGAGGACTATCTTGGTTAAAGTCCTCCTTATGTGGCATAGGCTCATCTTTGAAAACAACAGATGACTTCTGCTGCGAGCGAAAAGAGCAGAACTGATAAACTTGAGGGAGATATGACACGAATATGTACAGTTGCCTTTTTAATGCGCGGCAACAGCAACAGTAAACAGGATGCATTTAAAAAAGATCAATTTACAGCTATGATCCCCGAATTGTTTGGAAAAATTGCTCGTCTTTTCACACCATTCGAGACCAAGCAAACTGCGGTGAGAACTTTTAGCTTGGGTGCTCAGGGAGCATTAAATATGAGCGTTGGTGAACCATTATTACAGTAACACACACCTTCAGGCTCATGCTGGGCAGTCTCCACTGCAGCTGCCATTTCGGATCGCATTTGCATAGCCACCAAAGGGAAAAAGCAGGTACGTTCAACCTAATGCTTTGCAGCTTCTTTTCAATTCAACGGAGCAAACTTCAGGTATATGCCTCTGATACTGATATTTTGACATGCTGTGGAGCACGATGTGGGTTGGGGTATGATCTTATGAGGCGTCATAATATTTTCAAGAATGAGACTTCTTCAAAAAGGCTTTTTCCATCAATAAAAACTATTTCCTAGTGCAGGTGCAGAGGATGGTGGCACATAGAAGCCTGGAAATTCTACGAATACGATGGAGTCGTTTCTGGAGGACCTTACCTTGGCAAGGTACGGCAATTGGCAAGAGCTCTGGATATGATCTGTGAAGATGCTATGTATATTGGTTTGTTATTAGGGATGCTGCAGCCCTTATCCACTTCACCCTTGTGGACAACTTGGTAACGAGACCTTTTATGGAAACTGCCGTGGAATGGCGGACACGCCGCCATGCAAAAGGAGATGCCAACCTGGCTTCAGGCGAATTTACAGAAGGGACAAGCGATATGGTATGCGTTGTACACCCATACATAGCTACCTCTGTCAATTTAGGACATCTAGTCATAAAGGTAATCAAAAACCCCAGAAAGTGTCAAAAAACATTGCTACATTTAGCATTACTGCAATGAAATTTGCCAAAATGAATTAAAGGCTCAAATTATATGGTAAGGATATGCTAGGGGAGTGGGTAAGACGTCGGGGAGCCACAGGCACAATTCTCTAGAGAAACAGATGCGGAACTACCCACTAGTTTTTCAATCCTCTTCTCCCTATCACCCTGAACTCACACTGCGCAAATAACGACTCATCTTATGATCGACGCTTCTTGTATATTACTGATACCTTAAAAGGGTCAGAGGGTATAATTATGGACTTTTGTGTTTAAGCCAGTCTGTTTCGTTCAAACCAGCACCAGACGGAATTCTTATTATGTCTGTCTTTGGACAATTTTGACGTCCGAAACCCTGAACTACCATACTCGAAATCAAACTTGTTCGTGGGCACTGCTCACAAATTGTTAGCTGAATACAATAATTTCACCGTCTGCACTCGTACCTACTTCTTCCACTTACGCCATTCAAAAGTTTAGGCGAGCCTGGCAGGGCTTACAGATTGCCGAGATCTGAGGTAAAAATTCGAAGAGATATCAAGGAAAGAGGATCGGTGGTTGCCGTATTCGCTGTTTATGAAGACTTCTCGCACTATCAATCAGGAATTTATAAGGTGAGTCTTCTGAATGGAGCTCAAACAACCTTTAAAATTGCGCACAGATAGAAAATTCATTTTTGGGCTGCTTTACCCCATTGAGACTGCATCAGTGATTGTGCATGAGGAGATCGGAAATCTATAATATCTGCTTACAGCACAAGGCTGGTAGGTTCACAGGTGGTTATCATGCAGTGAAGATGATAGGATGGGGAAAGGACAATGGTACGGATGGCTCATCGTCAATTTTTGGCACGACGATTGGAGTGAGAATGGTGAGTCTCAATTACAGTTAAGAGTCCCACTTTATCGTTGAAATTACGTAACTTTAAATGCTGCTGACTAATTGTTACCGCCTACTTTGAGTCGAAGCTAACGGCTAACAATCTACTTTATAAGTATTCTTTTTCTGGAAGTTGACTTTATCCTCCGTAGCCCGCCCCCATTTGTGACCTTCTCGGCATCAAACAAAATTTGACTATAATATCCAAAAAAGTATGCGAGAACTGCAAGTAGAAGTAATCATAGCTGTATTTTTTACCTTCCGGTACAGATGTAGTACATTTTACAGGATTCTTCCGTATGATTCGAGGCGTCAACGACTTTGGAATAGAAGAGGATGTAGTCGCCGGGATTGCCGACGTTGAGAGTCTCTAAGACAGTATAAAGTGGAATCAAACGAAATGAAAAGAAGCATTAAACTGACGAAAAAATGAAAGCTTTGAATGACTTCTCTCATCTCATATTTCAGAAGAAAGTGTGCTTTGAAAAAAGCTTCGATAACATTAAGACGTAGGAAAACGGCAACGAATTTTTGTTGAATTGATGAATAGGATGAGAGTAATGTTGAGCTGCTCTTTATTTTACCTACTTCCACCTATTTTCACAACTCACTGTCTTTATGTAATGGTTTCAGCCATGAAAAGCACATTCCATAAAAGGGTCGAGGAAAAAGGGCTGGAGAGATACGCCTTTTGTTAGCGAACCTTTCCAGCAACGCTATTGATATTTGATGCTGTCGCCAAGAGCATACACTCCTGGCTACAGCTTGAACCCTCTGGCCACATTTAAATCTGTTGACTCCACCGAAGAAGTAGCTGACGCCTTCGAAATATTCGAAGTCTAATTGTTGAGTATGGGGTGTGGGAGAAATTTCACTGAAGCGTTGACACTCAACTATTTTGAAAGTGATAGCACACGGCATATTGGAAGAGTGCAAAGATGAGAGGTAGAAAATGTTACATATTACAAGTATAAGAGCTATATTCGGAAAAGAATATAGTGCCACGAGCGCCAGACCTGCTTTCCGCATTTGAAAAACGATTTCCTGTATGCTGTTGTTAAGGCACATAAAAAACGAAGCTGCATCCTACGTGCTCTACTAGTTACCATTTCATATCAGAATTTGGACAATACCCCTAAATAAAGTGTACTTATTAACGTAGATATCAGCTCACAGAACACATAAAGTACTCACAAGGATGGTGATTTATAGACAAAACTTCAGTCTCGCACGGGACTCAAACCCGTATTTGTCCTTTCTGGGGACCGTGTCCTTATCCCTTACATACCGAGACCCCGCTTGCCCTCGCCTTCTTTACGGCTTATGTGCCATAGCTTATCAGCACTCACACCTACAACGGTTGAGCCGGTCGGCCAATATCAGCACTAAACCGTTAAGCTGTAAGCTTTACTAGTTATAACCAGTTTTGAATTAATGTTTTGTTTAACGCTTCTACAAGTTGTACCAGAAAAACCCAAGCTGATTGAAGAATGCAGTGCGAGAATTTTTTATTATTGATAAGTTCATCACTTGTGGCTTTCTCTGGCACCCTTCTTATCGCAATTGACTAGCTAATCGCGTTGTGACACTTAGTACTAACGAATATAAGCAAATGCTGACGCAGTCACAGTTGCGCGAAAAATGGTGAGTTGTCTTTACGAAAAATTTTCCAAAAAGGGCTTTTATATAATGTATTAACCTTCCTAAAGGGCCTAATTCTTGTATTCTGCATCTATCTATGGCGGACTTCCGTACCAAATGAAGATGGTTAGTCTCTGAGCATTGATTTCGTAGTAATGATGTATTTGACAGTTCTCCTCTCGTAGCTTCAGAAGGCATTCCACTGTAAGCACAGAGGCTTGATGGTGAACCGCTTGCCGACTGCCTCAGAAAGCATTGGGACCTTTTCGAGGTGAATCGTTAATCGATGGGAACGCGCAACAAAATATATCTGTTTCGTTGCAGGTCAATTCAAATCCGACACCTGGTTTCGAGAACAAAATTATGGGCATGGAATTCAACGATGAGGGATCGAATCCTGTTGTGAATAGCTATGACGAACCTGGCGATGAAATCCCGGAGTTATTTATAAGCCGTGCATTTTTAAGGAAGAATTCATCTGGCCAAGGAATTTTGAGGACATTACACTTGTGTTTTCGCACCTCACTTAGAATTTTTGAAAAAAAAAATTAGGGAGGTAAAGGAGATCACCCACCCTTACCTCCCAGTTTTTCGATGGCTCAACTACATTGTTCACCGAGAAAGTTGACAAGGATAAAGTTGCTCCATATACTTTTACAGTGGTGGCATATGTTTAAGGTTCATTTACAGCTGCGGTCGTCGTAACATTTGGGCCGACTGCTTCTCGCTCTCCGCGACCAAGCTAACTGCGGTGAGATCTTCTTGACTACTTGTGCACGAGTTTACTGAAATCTTGTCAGTGTTATTAAATAATCTCAATAATGGAGATTAAATAGCAGCACTCGAAAGATATTGGGTAACTTAACTCCTCGATTGAAATGACGTTTTCTGAGGACTGAATGCTCATCTGGTCTGTTTGGGCCTACACTAAAGTGCACTCGAACGACTCACCGGGGATGTCAATAAGGAATCCTCATACTATGAGTGAAGCGGAAAGGATTCGAGTGGAAATTTCTGCCCTTCCACCACCTCCTGAAGCACTCCTTTGAAAAGGCAATGGCTAGTTTTGATGTTGCATCTAAGAAAAAAATGTCTTCTATCATTCTGCAGTGTCTCGGATGTTTTTCCCAGAAAGAATCACCACCTTTTTGTATTATATGCAGGTCGGTTTCATATCCAACACCTGATTTCGAGTTGAAAATTAGTTTACAAATTTTTAGAATAGCAATGTCAACCCTACTGTAAATGCCGATAACGATATCGGGAGCGACATGTCGGAAGGGTAGGTCACAAGCGCCTCGTATGGGTTTGCGTATGCCTTCAGTTCCGACGAAGGCACCCCTTCATTCCTAAGTAAGGGAGTTTGGCGTGGGTCGCAGTTTGAGAACCCTTACAAAACTGGTGGATGCGCTCTCTGCGAAACCGTACATATGTCGTACCAACCTTAAGCCTCAATTTTCATTGCCTCCTTTATTAGTGATCCAGTGACCATCTCAATACATGTCCGTACCATCGCAGACACTGCTCCTTCATCTTCAAGTGAGTAGGGGCTGTTCGCGTGACCGCTTTGACGTCTCCGTTTTGATCCGCCCAATCGCATCCTACCGCGAGTTCATCTGAGCAGCCGCTTCTAAGCAGAGTGAAGCTGTCTGTCATGATTCCTAGCTACTCGATAACATTCGCTGCTGGAGAGCATCGTGAGCCCCACTATTGTTCGGTATACCATTCCTTTAATGATCTAGAGCACGGACGTTCGCGGAATGTACTCCGGACTTCCTCCACACAACCATGCCGTTTTCATTCGTGCCTTTATAGTATGGTCCACACTGCCATAAGAGACAACGTGAATCGGAAGTTTTTGTGCCTTCTTCGGAGCTGAGGAACTCGATTTTTTCAGCGTTGAGCCTTAAGCCTTCCTCTGCCATCACCTTCTGCCACTTCTGCACCTTACAACGTCTATTCGTAAGGTGTGCGTATAACCGTCGTGGACTTACCATACATCTCCTTGAAGAGGGAGATCAGCCGTTCAGGTCGTCACGTTCTTTGTGTGCTATCTAGACAACTTGTCGCGGTAGATATCGGAAGCCTCTTCTAGATCAAAGAAGGTCACAGGTAGCACGTTCTACGCTTTTCTCAATATTTCTCCATCATTTGCCTAATTATCGAATGACAGTATTTGTAGATTTTTCTGGCATGAAACCGAACTGTTTCTGTGATATTGTGACAGTTCCCTATAATTTAGGTCGATTGAGCACTCGCACACCTTCATGGTATGCGCAGTCAGCCTCATTACACGGTAGTTAGAACCATGCTGTGCATACCCCTGCTGCTTTAAGATTGGGACGACAATACTGCTCCTCTGCTCGTCTGGTGTCCTTCCTTCAGCGGTCACCGTGTTAAGGAATCTACCACCACCTAATCCACTTAATCCACATGGTCCCGTGCGCTTTCGATGCCTCTGATGGTACGACATAAGGGCCAATTGCCTCCCCAACTTTCATATTCTCTATTGCTTGATGGACCTCATCTTCTGCCCAGAGTGCAATAAGGTCAGCCGTCGCCTCTATGTGGAGGCTGTTCTTACAGTGGATTTTATTCTTCGATTAGAGCCTTTGAGGGACTCTATTTCTGCGATAGCCACACCAATTTTTTGGGTATTCTCTCCGCTGTATAAAAGCTTGATATGTTCTGTGATTTCTCTAGTCTTTTTGATGTGCTTCTCATGAAAGCATATGAGTTGAATGTTTTGCACTTTATTAGATTGAATATCTTTCAGAGCTTAACAGTAAGGGATCCACGCCGAAATTTCGAACTATCTTTTCTGGCCTAGGTCATTCAAACTTGGACGGGGAATCCTGCGCGCCTTTTGCGAGTGATGTCTTGGCTTTGATACTGATTCTGATGGGTTTCTTTGACATGTTTTTATAACAAGGTTTTTCCACCGACTAGCCTATCAACCTAGGCCAGACTCTGGCATCGGCACGATTTTTGCAACTTTCTTACAAGAAATGGTTCTTGCCTCGGCATCCAAACTCTCGCTATTTCTGAAAGACATGAGACAAGATATACACTCTTGAACACTCAGCTATCCCTACGGAAGTAGAGTATAAAATTGGCAACAAAAAACACTAGACTAAACGCCATCGAGACCATGGCAGCAGATCAGCTTTGAACAGTAGATGGAGTTCAGTATCCGTTGAGAAGCCTACTCACGAACTATCTGCAAACTACTGTACGCGAACGAAACCGTAAGAGCTCTTTGACCCGTTGTATTACACTTTTTAGATTTTGTGGAGGAAGTCGAATTCCGAGACATAGGAGCTGACGAAAAAAGTATTCTTTTCGACTGAATGTTTTGTTAACTGCTGTTATTTCGCCACAGTACGCGAGGCTATATTGTCACAAGGTGGCGAGTTATGCACAATGTTCGGTTTCGGATGGGACTCGAACCCGTACTTGTGCTATACAGGCAACGGGCTCTTATCTTTCACACTACCGAGACCCCGCTTGCTCTCGCTTTCTTAATGGCTTACACCCCATTGCTTATCAGCACTCACTCGTATGTGGTTAATGCTGGTCAGCTATGGTATTCCTTTCTTACCAAAGTGGAGTTGTGGAGAAAAGTTTGATCACAATTAGGATGAGGCCGGAGCAAACCCAAGGCTCGAAGATGAGAGAGAATGAAACACAGATTATGATGATGACGAGAAAAAGATGAGCACAGTGTAGAGAAAATTGCTGGAGGGAAGCGCCACCTTCTCCTTCCCCTTCTTCCTTTTCTTCTTTAGCGTTTATCTCACCGCTCGAGATCGAGGTCCGCTCTTTGGTATGTTCACGCCGCCTTTCCCGACTGAACGCTCGATCGAATGAGGGCCAACAACCTTCACGTTCCGTGCAAAATATCAAGTCAAGTGTCGCTCTGGTCTTCCTTGATTCCGTTTTACGGGCACGTTGAGGTTGAGGTCGATCTTGCAGACATTGTTGCTAGCTGCGAGTAGGACATGCCTATACCGTTTTAGGCAACCTTCGCAAACTTTATCGGCAATAGGAACAACTCCGAAACGCTCCCTTATTGCACCGTTGCGAATACGGTCCAGATGCGTGGCTCCAGCTGACCATCGTAGCATTTTCATTTCCATTAATTCCAGGCGTGCTTCAAGTTCTCCATCTACAGGCTAGCGTTACGCACTCTGAATGGTCGCATGAAGGCCATGCAGGTCTTCGGTGTGAAGCGCTGTGGTATTTTCTTGTTGCAGAGAACGCCAGCTATCAGCGCCATTTAGACTAGGCCCACTCACAGGAGAATCAGCTTCGGAGGCCAAAGTACGGTCAGACGCGATCGCATTGCCGATCCAAAGTATAAGGATAGATGCACACTTGAGCTCAGTGCCGCCAGTCAATCCTAATAGTCCATTTGAATATGTAGTCATGTACTCGGTATAAGCCCCTGTCACATATCATGCGATCATGTAGATTTTTCCTGTGACTTTCTGCACAGCCACAGGAAGAAGCAACATGTCTTTACGACGATACGAGCAGGGAAATTATTACGTCAACAGGAAAGAAAGCAGTAGTATGTAATCTGCCGTGCTGTGAAAGAATATTTTATGATTTCATGCACAGAAGCAATCATGACAAAAGAGCACACTCTATGGATACAATTTCTGTAGTTATCAAAGGAGGGACAGGAATTCCCTCTAATCCCAAAGGTGAAACAAGGCATTCAACCTGAACTTAACGGTATCACTCACAGAAATCTCATTCCTGGAACAGAACCTACCCTGCTACCCTTATAACTGGGTTTATCAGAAGTATTCCCTATTTATGTTGAGGATAAGTTCGGACACGCTGTTAGAACTTTTTCACCTGCAAAAGCACCTTATCAGTTCTCATGAAAGGAGTTAGCGGTTCTATAATTAGAACTATTTTCCGCCAATGCAGGAGTAAGATAACTGAGCGCGGTATGCAAGGCATGGAAGCCCTCACTGAGTGCTTGTATGACCGAAGAGTTCCTACACTGTAACCTTCACATTTGAGTTGCTGCAATCCTGTCACAGCAATAAAATTTTTTTGGTTCAAATGACATTGAGCTCACTTTCGTCGAATCCTTGATAGAATCAGCTCATTCAGCTGATAATGCAAATACAAAAGAAAACTGTCAAAAAGGAAAAAAGGTCGGGACCAGTGATTAGCAAAACTACTTTCCACATCCTAATCCCTAAATGTTTGAATGTGACTTATACTGGCGCTTTTTTCTTGCTAGGGAACCTCAGATAAAATTGACCGTCAAGGCATTTTGCATTTTGAGAAGGAAGATGTGTCGACTTCTTAGAATTTCTAGATGTTTCACTGAAGTTCTATCCAATTTCCAGGCTTTCAAATACAGAAAAAAACAAGCTTTTCAGGATAAGAGCTTTGCAAATCGCTCCGCGAAATTTGGGATAACCATATTTTTATCTGACACGTTGTCGCGAACGTATTCAAGCTGAACGTCATTGCCTCAGCTCACTACCAAATCTCTACCGTAGCATGACAGATGCAAAAGTTGTAGAGGCCCTCAGAGCCAACCAAGTTCTCTTGCTTCTTTGGTTTCGCTTGATTGAACGTACAAGCCTGGGCTATGTCTATTCTTCGCATATGAGAAGCACCTACATATGAACGGAAGAATTACTATCCCTCATCTTGGATCAACCCTTCCTCTCCTAGACCCCATTGAATTTTTCGAATTTCTCGCACTTCTCTTATCGAGGTGACAGTCAATCCCTTGTGACAGTTGATTGCAGCAAATATAGACACACTGATGAGCTCAGTGTCCTCTTAAAAATTCCGACAAAAATGGGAAGTTTTCTTCTTGTTCTCTTTCAGGATATATCCTACTCATATATGTTTAACATGCGATCAATAAAATATGTTTCAGGAGCACCTAGTGCTCACACTTTGTCTCTATCTATGCCGAACATTAGGAGCAGATACAGATGGTTAGTAGCCTATTCTACCTCTATAAATACAATATTTTCTTGATGATACAGTCATCATGGTCATGCCTTACAGACGCTCAAGAAATCCCACTGCATGCACAGATGTTGACTGGTGCACCACTGGTCGAATACCTTCAAAAGAACCAGGAGCTTTTTGAAGTGATTCATTTTTTATTGAAAGTTCCTCCAAATTCTACAATATTTGATATTATATTCTACAAAATTTGTTGCAGGTGAGAACAACGCCAACACCTGGTTTCAAATATAAATTAATGGATGTGGCTTTTGCAAATGCAAATCAGAATTTGAATCCTGTTGTCAATGATGACAATGACACCGGCGCTGACCTTCCGGAAAAGTAAATCACTATCTTCGTTGCATTCTTCCCTCATTACCTATAACCTAAGCCTTTCAAGGAATCAGAACTTTAAAGCAGTCGACCTTAAGAAACCCTCTCAGTCAGCCTACTTGGTCAGCTTCCCTTAAAGCTATTTAAGTAGGTGACTGATGGGGAGAAACTTCACACTCGAGTAATTAGTATCCATGATACCATTTTTTTGTTGTCATAGGCAAGTCGAGGATATGGTCTATATTTATCAAAGATGTTTTTGCGTGGGATAGGCTCATCTTTGAAAACAACAGATGACTTCTGCTGCGAGCGAAAAGAGTAGAACCGATCAGCTTGAGGGAGATATGAGACAACAGGATGCATTCAAATTAGATGCATTTACAGCTACGATCCCCGAATTGTTTGGAGAAACTGTTCATCTTTCCACACTATCCGAGACCAAGCAAACTGCGGTGAGAACCTTCGGCTTGAATGCTCAGGGAACAATACATATGAGCGTGTGTGTGGTGTCCCATGTATTACAGAAACATACACCTTCAGGCTCATGCTGGGCAGTCTCCACTGCAGCTGCGATTTCGGATCGGATTTGCGTAGCCACCAAAGGGAAGAAGCAGGTACGTTCAAACTAATGCTCTGCAGCTCCTTCTCAACTCAATACAGCAAACTTCAGGTGTATATCTCTGCTACTGATATTTTGACATGCTGTGGAGCACCTTGCGGTATGGGGTACGATCTCATGAATCGTTACAGTACGAAAATGAGACTTCTTCGGGAAGTTTTTTTTATCAATAAAAACTGTTTCCTAGATTAGGTGTCAAGGAGGGTGGCCCATAAGGGCCTGGGAATTCTTCGAATACGACGGAGTTGTTTCTGGAGGACCTTACCTTGGCAAGGTACAGTGATTGCGAGCCCTACACGTGATTTGTGAAGATACTTTGTATATTGCTCTGTTATTAGGGATGCTGCAGCCCTTATCCACTTCACCCTTGTGGACAACATGGTAACGACACCTTTTATGGAAACTGCCGTGGAATGGCGCCCACTCCGCCATGCAAAAAGAGATGCCAACCTGGCTTCAGGGGAATGTACAGAATTGACAAGCGATATGGTATGCGTTGTACACCCATACATAGCTACCTCTGTCAGTGTAGGACATCTAGTCATAAAAGGTAACCAAAAACCAGAGAAGTGAGTGAAAAACAATGTTACATTTAGCAATACTGCAATGAAATTTGTCAAAGCGAATTTAGGGCTTGAATTATATGCTAGGTTATGCTGGGGGAGTTAGTAAGACGTCTGGGAGCCACGAAACCATTCCATGGAGAAACGGTTATGGAACCATCCACTAGTTTTTCAACCCTTCGTCCCCCACCCCTATAATCATAAACCCTCACTGCGCAGATGAGGATGTGAGAAGGCTCTAGCCTTAAGCTCACTCTCACCCACTCCATGGTCGATGCTTTCTGTATATTACTGATACCTTAGAAGGCACAGAGGGTATACTTATGGGCTTTAATGCTTAAGCTAATCTGTTTGTTCAAACCAGCAGCAGACGAATTCTCATTATGTCTCTCCTTGTTCAATTTTGACGTTCGAGACCCTAAACTACCGCATTCGAGATCAAACTTGTTGGTAGGCATTGCTCGTAAACTGCTAGATGAGTAACAGTAGTTTCACCGTCTGCAATCGTACCTATTTCTTCCATCTACGCCATTCAAAAGTTTAGGCGAGCCTGGCAGGGCTTACAGATTGCCGAAATCTGAGGTAAAAATTCGAAGAGAAATCAAGGAAAGAGGGTCGGTGACTGCCACGTTCGCCGTTTATGAAGACTTCTCGCACTATAAATCAGGAATTTATAAGGTGAGGCTTCTGAATGGAGCTCAAGCAACCTTTGAAATCGCGCACAGGTAGAAAATTCATTTTTGGGCTGCTTTCTTTACCTCATTCTGTCTGCATCCGTTATGGTGCATGAGGAGATCGGAAATCTGTAGTATTTGCTTACAGCACACCGCTGGTTACATCACAGGCTTTCATGCAGTGAAGATGATAGGATGGGGAAAGGACATCAATGGCACAGACTACTGGCTCATCGCCAATTCTTGGCATGATGACTGGGGTGAGAATGGTGAGTCTCAGCTAGAGTGAAGGGAATGCTTTTTACAAAACTGAACCTAGTCTGGATGGTCCCACTTTAACGTAGAAATTGCGTGACTGTTAAATGCTGCGGAATAGTTGTCACAGCAATGTTTCGAAGACGATGGCCAACCATTCTACCCCATAGCTATTCTTGCTTCCGATAGCTGACTTTATCCTCCGCTGCTCAGCCCCATTTGATGGCTCATCAGCAAGTAACAAAATTTGAATCTAATAATCAAAAATAGATGTGCAAATAGTGATCATAGCTGTAAATGTTACCTTGCGGTACAGATGTAGAACATCTTACAGGATTCTTCCGTATGATTCGAGGCATCAACGACTGTGGAATAGAAGAGACTGTAGCTGCCGGGATTGTTGACGTTGAGAGTCTCTAAGACAGTGTAAGGTGGAATCAAACCAAATAAAATGGAAGTCTTATCTAGACGCAAAAATGAAGCTTTGGATAAATTTCCATATTTCAGAAAAAAACTGCTTTGGAAATGCTAAGATAACATATACATAAATGTAGGAGAACAGCAACGAATTTATGTTGAATAACGAATAGAGTAATCTCGACGAGCTCCTCATTATACCTACTTCCACCTAATTTTCACAAATCACTCTCTTTATGTGAAGTTTTCAGCCATGATAAGAACATCCCATGAATGGGTTGAGGGAGAAGAGCAAAAGAGATATGCCTTTTGTTAGCGAACCTTCCCAGCAACGCTATCTACAGGGGTGCCCAAAAAAAGGAGACACTTTCATTGCTCGGCTTGTACCACCAATGTAATTAAATTTTATTAAATTCTGACTGAATATCACCACCCGCAAAATCAACAACACATTGCACTCGATCACGGAATTCTTCAATGGCCTTCCGCACGAACGAAATGGGAAGTTTTTGCCACGCAAATACGATGCGTCGTCTGAGGTCGGCGAGATCGGCAACTTCCTGACCATCGCAGAAAATTCGAAGTATAATTTTGAGTGTGGGGTGTGGGAGAAATTTCACTAAAGCGTCGACACTCAACTATTAGGTTGGCAAATAAGTCCTGCGACAAAAATTCGAAGCATTGAAAATTTGTATCAACGGTGTGAACACGGTAGCAAGGGTGATAAACTTGTAGGACATTCCCCGGGCAATCAGAATATGAGTAAATAAGGGCACACGTGTGGGCTTTTGCAGCATTACGGTCAATGAATGGACAACACCCGATCCGTACCAACACCTTCAACTAAGGACGCCAAGGGAAAAACGCGGGAGTAGCGGCTCGAAATATCAGCAGTCTATTCGATGCTAGCACTGCTCACCGATCGACGGTCAACAATCGCCTGGATCGCTTCACTGCAGGAGATACTAGCCTTCGGAGTAACGCAAGCAATGTCCCTTAATTTAATAGAGGTTGAAGGAATCCATCCACTATGAGTTGCAAAACGCAGACTAGATGGAAGCAGCAATCGCTTGCTCCTCTGATCCCCTTTATTAGGCCAACGGGGTCAGAGGAGGACGATCAAACCGTAAATCAGGTCCCTACAGAGGCACAACGCACGTCGAAAATTCGCTTTAAACCCACGTCAAATGATCAACGATCCCGCTTGGTTCCAGGTTACTCATCATTCGTACTCCCGGGGTGTTGCCCCTTTCAGCTACCATGTGCTCCGCCTTCTTGGGCATCCCGTTGTGGGAAAAAATTCGTAACATAATGTGATCTAAAAATGGCAGTCAATTACTTTTTTGAGTCACAGCTCCCTCACTTCTGGAGAGATGGCATCAGTGATAGGCTCAGAGGGTGAAAGAAGGTTGTTGACTCCGTCGGTGAAAATTTTTACAAAAATTGATCGATATGAAAAAATTTGGAAGTGGTTTAAAAAAGGTCTCCATTTTGTCGCAGGACTTGTTTGCCAACCTAATATGTTAAGAGATGCTTGAAAGGGATAGCACACGGCATCTTGGAAAAGTACAAAGGTACAAAGATGAGCGGTCGAAAGTGTTACATACTACGAGTATAAGAGATAGTTTTGGAAAAAGATATGGTACCACAAGTACGAGACCCTTTTTCGGCATTTGAAAAACGATTTCCTGTATGTTGTTGCTAAGACACATAAAAAACGAAGCTGCATCCTGTACTCTACTAGTTCATATCAGATTGAACAATACGAATCAATTAAGTGTATACCGTGTATTGTATCAACGTAGATATCAGCCCGCAGAACACATAAAAATAAATGAATATTCGGAAAGTGCTCCCCATTGTGATCGCACTATTTTCCGAATCTTTTGGTTTGAATAATATTCCTGCGAATTTGCTCCGTTTTGGAAGTTTCGCTCTTCGCACCCTTCCCGTGAAGTACTTTAACCACTACCTGCAATTGAGAAGGGTTCCAGAACAGTGGAAGAAATCCAAAAGCATTCTTTTATTCAAGAAAGATCAGCGCAAAGATTTCTCCAATTACCGCCCATCAATCCTTTATTATTGGTAAACGTGTCGGAAATTATGCGCAATCGCTGGGACGCAACTTGTAAAAATATAATACCAGCCAAGAGAACAGAACGGATTCAGGAAGAACCTTTCGTGCATGGACAACATCCATGCAGTTGATCAATTATTGAGAGAGATATTGAAAGTATCACTTCCCTTAAGCTCTTTTTTGCCCAGGATTCCAGTAGGTTTCGACTCTGTGGAGATCAACGCCGTTCCAAATGTTCTTGTGCAAGCGATGGTTCGCCTACCCAGCTGCTCAAACAGTTTCTTTTTTCAGACACATCAACATTCACTCAGCTACTTGAGCAAAAACAAAGGACTTTCGTTGGAGAAAGGGCGCGGCAAGGATATGCAATCTCACCAAAGCTTTCCACAGCTGCGTCAGTATGTGATGTCAAAGCTCGTCTGCAAAGATAGGGGATATCCCGTCAATGGTGGAAGCGTCAGTACTTCGATGACATCGTCTTGATATCTAACAGCACTGTTGAAATGGAAGAAATGATCAAGGAGCTTGATGCGGTTGGAATGCTGTTAGGCTCGGAGACGAAAATGTCTAAAACTCAATTGGTGCTGAACAAGTAGTGCGATACGAGAGCAGTAAAACTAAAAAGAAAAACTTACAAGGATTTGAACCCTTACTGTATAGGGTAGGAAGAGAGCTAAACGCGATGTACGCAATGCTCCGAAACTAAACCGGGGAAGACGTGCCGTGCCGCTTTCGGTTCAATCCGCGAAGTGACAGACCAGGTCAGTGATCTCAATCTCAAGGAATCGATATTCAACCTTCAGAACTGCCAACAATTTGTTATGTGACTGAAACATGGACTCACCACAAAGAAATCGTTAGACCATAGAAACCATAGAATCGTTAGACCATAGAAACCATAGAGACCATAGAAACTTCTCATCACACATTAGAAAAATGTTTCCTAAAGATCAGCCGACGCCAGCAGTTCTGCGAAGTTTAGACGTGGATGAGGAGGAGAGACCGTTTTTGAAGGCCCCGCTTGAAAACGTTGCACATCAAAAGCACCATGGGACAGCCATCCTTTTTTGTTGAAAAGACGAAATTCTTCGTGACTCGAAAACTCCACCTTTCGTCTTCCGAGAAACAAAACGAGCCGTAGCCGTAGTGCCGATTCGATGGGCCAGTTCGTTTCCAAATATTCCAGGAAAACTGAACTAAATACATGGCGCGAAAGATCGGGTTGTATGGAAGAGCTGTCGTCTCCTATAGACTCTTAAATTATCAAAGTAAGTAGTCCCTACCATTTATTGAATGCCATCCAGAGACTTTTCACTAACTTCGTGCTCAAGACACATTTTCCCTCACAGTTAAGTTCTTTCACAATGTAGACCTTTACTCGAGAGCTTGAACAAATTCTAGTAAAATCGCTTTATTTCTTTAGACCTCTGGAAATCTTCTACGCGAGAAAACGTCTGACAAGGTATTCCAACAATACAGTAAAAGAAAGGAAGAAAGAAAGAAGTAAAAGAATAAAGAAGGAATGATAGTAGAAAGAGTCCAACAAAACATGACAAAATCAATGAAAAAATCAGAACGAGAGAGCTCTGGGGAAGATGGAAATGCAGTCATTGATGGTGCTCATTGATGATCATTAAATCATAGCTGTTTACGCGAAATCTGCCGAACATGCCGTCGGTATTCTGTAAGTCGCTCTACCTGGGGTGGATTTATTCTTCGTTTAGAGCCTTCGATGGGCTCTATCCCTGCGATGACCACACCATTTCTTTTGGTTTTTTCTCCGTTGCATAAAAGCTTGGCATTTTCTAGGGCTTTTCTGTTTTTTTTTCGAGCGCCCCTCCCGAAAGCATGGAAATCGAACGTACTGCACTTCAATAGATTGAATACCTTTAAAGACGCAACAGTGAGGGACTCAGCTTGAAATTTCAAACTAACTTGTTTGACCGAGTTTGTTCGCTGCACGTAACCCTCTTATACTGTCCGCAAAGTCGGTCGGGGGTGCTGTGCGCCTTTTGTGAATAATGTCTTAACTTTTATGCTGATTCCTCTAAATTTCTTTTACATGCTTTAATGACAGGCTTCCTCCATTGGACGGCCTGTCAACCTAGGCCAGACGCGGTATCGACACGATTTTTGCAATTTTTTTTCACAGGGCATGGGTGTTGCCTAGGTATCCATCAAACATTCTCTCTTCCTGAGATATTAACACTCAGCTATTCCTGCTGAGGAAAAGGCATAGAATCGGCAACTACACTATACTAAGCGCAGCGGCGGATCAGCTGTGAACAGTAGAGGAGTTCAGTGTTCGTTGAAAAGCCTACTCAGCAGTTATCTACAACTACTACAGCAAATCCGTAAGAGTTTATTTTCCGTAAAACTTTATTTTATTTACGATCAACGTCTATCGGCCTCTTTATCTCTTACATGTCCAAGACCCCGTTTGCTTACGCATCCTTAGTGGCTTACATCTCACAGCCTATCAGCACTCAGTCGTACAACTTGGTAAACATTGGTAAGCTCCGATACCCTTTCGTTCCACAAGTGGAGATGTGGAGGAAACTTCGGTCACATGAGGGCGGACAGAACCAACAGCCCGAAGCTGAGAGAGGAGAAGATGTCGATGAGAACGGATATGAGCACAGTACAGAGAACAATGCTGGAGGAAACATCACCTTTTCCTTCCCCTTCTTTTCTTCTCTAGCGATTGCTTCACCTTGTAGCGGGGTCCGCTCCGTGGTAAATTCTAGCTGCCTTTCCCGATTGAACGCTCGATCGTATGAAGGCCAATAACCTTCAAGTTCCGTGCAAAATGCCGAGTAAGATGTCACTCTACAGGGTGGGCCAAAATTATGATTACACAGAAATCACATCGCAGAAAACGAATAGAAAGCCAATAGGGCAAACCAATTTCATTAGAGGGTTTGGC